TACAGCTGCCCGTTAAAATAAATGTACTGTGTATATATAATGTATATAATGTATATATGTGTGTGTGTGTGTGTATATATATATATACTGTATATACTGTATATCAGATCTGGATTGAAAAGTAGAGCACAGCTTTGTTTTATTTATAGTTCCTTTGGACATCATCCCAACAGGGCGTACAGTGTCTCGATTCTGGCGTAATTTCATATGGTAGATGTGCAATCTCCGCACATATGGATGTGTCTCCGGGGCATGTTTAGGGCATATCATGCCAACAATAACATAAAAGGAATGAAACATTTTATAAACAAGAAATACTTGGCTGCATCGCTCATTCTATTCTACAGCAGACTCCACACAGTAGACGGTAAACCTAGCTAAGGTCCCATTAACATGCGATTGCTAATCAGATGGAACAATTGGCAACCTGTGATACAAAGTACACAAGGAATTTATGTAATAGATGCAACAGGTTGGTTACTTTGTGTAAACTACAATTGGCCCATATACCCCAGTCTGATGACCCACATCCCACCCATCTACCCCAGTCTGATGACCCACATCCCACCCATCTACCCCAGTCTGATGACCCACATCCCACCCATCTACCCCATCTACCCCAGACTGATGACCCACACACCACACATCTACCCCATTCTGATATCTCAGATCCTCCTACCCAGACTGCAGAGGCAATTTTAAAAATTGTTCAATCTTTACATTTCACACAGTTCACACTTTTTCACTTCCAGTGTAAGTAATATTTTGTCTTTAGAGCTTTGTTAGAATAAAGAGCATCAACATTCCTACTGAGCTGCATTATATTCCAGCGCGCTCCAAGCTGTAATCTGGTATGATTTGTCTAGTTGTTCTCAAGGTCAGAGACACAGGAAGTGCTGGGAAACATCAGAAAAATCCTCCAGGACAATCTCCCCTCCTAATGAAGTGATGAGGCAATAAGTACAGTCAGCAGGCTTGAGGAGGATTACTGGGGTTATTTAAGAGGGACTCCAACACAGTTTCCATCCACCTGAAACATTCATTTTGTGCATATTTCTTGTAAATCGGGAGCGGGTAATTTGCTGTCCAATAAGTGCAGCTCTGCATGCTGATATGAAATCATCTTACATTCATTAGTTAAACAAACATATTTTGCTTTTACAAAAAATTTCTACTTCCTGGTCCTCTTGGGCATTAGTGATGTAATGTGCCCAAGCGTTGCATCCTGGGAAGGTTACATCAGCAGAGCATTGCTGGGAAATCTCATCTGTAATCTCATGAGATCTCACGGAAAGGCATGTCCCTCCCCTGAGAGGATGTGCATGGTCACATGTGCCAGAGTTCCAGGAAGTAAAGGGAGGTCTAGTAACCTGTCCTTAGTAAAAATGGCCGCTGTGAGAAGAATGGGGAGGAAAGGAAAAATAAGGTCTGCAAAGAATACAAAGCCGGCAATTATAGATTATCATTACTAAACATTTCCAAAGATGTCTTTGTTGTAATTTCAAAGATTTGGGTAAAGTTCCTCTTTAATAATAAAAGGCTGAGATTTTTTTGAAAAATAATACAGTTTATGCATACTGTGACAGGTCAGAAATGTATTGGTGCAGACTTGTAAAGATACAAAAAGGTCCACTTAACCGCCTCCCGGCCCGCTGGATCTAAGGGGCCGTCTAAAGGCGGCCGGTTGGCCCCGCCCACTGTGACAGGGGATCAGAGGGGCTCTGTGACAGGGGATCATATGGATCTCCTTCCGGTCTCCTCTCTGGTGTCAGAATGCAGAAGTAATGTATATTACATCACTTCCGCATTCTGCTGTCACTGCTGTCTGCTGTCACTCTCCAGCTTCAGAAGCTGGAGAGAAGCTGATGAAGCTTCTCTTGCAGACCCCTGATGTCTCCATAAAGAGGACCTGTCACATCTATTGCTATCACATAGAAGACTTCTTAGCCCCCTATGTTTTACCAATAAAGTTAAGTGGGAAAAAAATAGGAAAAAAATAAATAAAAGTTGCAAAAAAAAAATTAAAATTAAAGTCACACATGAAAAAGAATAAAAAAAACCCCCCACCCATACATACACACATGCAAGTATACATCGGGTGCGCATACGTGCGAAAATGACGATTGCGCCCATTACGCCGCACACGTTACATATCGCCGCAAACGTCACAGTGAGAGCAATAATTTTAGGGCTATCAATCACTGATAACATTAAACTGATGAGCGGTAAAAGCTTTTAAAGCGTCGGCTATGGCCAATTTTGGATATGGTATTTTTTTTGCAATTTCGCGGGTGCGCGCAATTTTAAGGCTTGACATGTCTGGTGTCTATTTACCCGACTTGACCCCGTCTTTTATATTTTACCAAACAATTGGGTAATAATAATTGTTTCCTAGAATAATGTAAAAACAACTTTTCTTTTTCAACATTTTCAGTAATTTTTCCTTAATATAGTAAAAAATAAAACCCGCAGCGGTGATTAAATACCAACATAAGAAAGCTCTATCTGTCCCCAAACAATGGTATAAAATTAATTTCAGTACAGCATTGCATGACGGAATAAATGTCAGTCAAAGTACCACAGCGCTAAATACTGAAAAATAGCCTGGACAGGAAGGGTCAGCAAGTGGTTAAAGGCAAAATGTTCATATTGGATTGGACAGGTTCTCCCATTCCAAAACCTGACGGTAACAGAACTCGTAGAGCAGAACGTCATTGACAAATATACTTTATAGTCCATCGACTCTTCACAGATGGCATAACAAAGCCAACGCCGATGAGGAACAGTCTGTTCCCTCTTTATCCTATTTCAATCACGTACATCCAGCATGTGTGCACCACGCAGAGAAGGAACCGCATTCTTTTATCCTAGCTCCTTCTCGGAACACCTCAAGAAGAACTTCTCCTGTGAAGTTTTGAACAGGAGGTACACAACTGTTGTAAGCGCCTACGGATCAGTCTTTCCCGATCTGTGATGTGTTAGCTGCCTCCGAGCGTAATACACCAAGAATGGATGATGCAGCTTTTCAAAGACTTGATTGATGGCACATGGGATCTAAGAAGACCATGTCCTCCAGCTAGACAGTTTGGATGGTGTTTAAACATACCCGGACTGCTCTTGTTAGCGGGATCTCCGGATGCTCCAGGCAAATACTGATTGTAAAGGAAGAAAAACATCATTTGCTGTGTTCTGAAATGAAATGGCATTTTTAACGGTGGCAGTTGGGCTCTTGGAGTTATCTTGAAGACACAACTGCAATTAAAGAGGGTCATTGTTTCATCAAAGGTCAGAGGAGATGTGTTCTGCTGTCATCCATGACAGTGGTAGCAGCAGGCATATGTTTTGCCATTAGCAACAGTCTGTTGTTTGGAGTAGGTTGTGTTCTAAGCAGACAGCATGGTTCCGATTTGGCGCTTCTTCCAACCTTGCAATCCACAGGGGAGGAGGAGAGCAATCAAGAGTCAGTTGCTTCAAGGTCCACTCAACTTGGGGAGAACGATAGCTGCTGGGACAGGTTCTTTAAAGAGGACATGAACTGTGGAGGCTGTGTGCTAAAAAAGGCAAGCAGAGGACAAAGGACTAGTCACCAGTGGTCTCACTTCAGTTGTTCTTGGTAGAGGCAGAGCTTACTAATGTCAGAGCTGACCTCCTGGTGACTGATGGAGTATTGATCAAGAAGCAACTAAAAAGGTGGAGGAATCACAGATGTACAGAATGGGTATTGCAGAAGCAGGGAGATCCTTGCACCGCAGGTCCTCAGGTACATCTTCCTGTCCAGCAAAGAGAACAGTGAGCATTTTTAAGTCTCCTGGCCAGCGTATAGCTGGGCGAATGCTGTTCATACAGTACTACCACCACTAGGTGCTCCTCGGCTCCATCTAGTGGCAGGAATGGCATGCAAACGGCATTCACCAAGCTGTACACTGGGTGGATCATTTTTTTACATCAGTCCCATAGTATTAGAAACCTTGTAGAGGTTTAAACCCTACCCTACCCTGAAAAATATGTTTTTGTTGCTGACTATGGTCAGTCCTCCTCGTTTCCTCTCTCAGGTTGCACCAGTTGAGTTGCCATTACAGGAAGTGAGGGGGAGTCGTCTAAAAGAGTAACATACAGTCATAAAAACCTGACTTACGGGGGGTCCAGTTATCATCCGCCTTCGACTCGCACAACCTTCACCCACATTTTTCTAATTCAAAAATGGTCAGCATGGTGTGTTTGTGGTTGACACTCCTCCCTTGCAGTACTGGGGTCCTCAGTTCAAATTCCAACCAGGACACTATCTCTGCATAGAGTTTGCCTTCTCTTCCTATTCTTGAGTGGCTTTCCTCCCAAGGTGGCAGGTTTGTGATCTCCTTTCTAAAATGGCCCCGTGTATGGAAATTACGGCATAAATTGTCTGCGCTATAAATATACCTGTGGTAAATTGAATCTTATCTGTGAATTTTGGGTGAAAGTTTTGTAAATCTCGGGTGAAAACATAGCTAGACCTTTTAATACACAGCCAAAAAATACAAAAATAAAAATATCAAAATGGCTGAGGTTCCATTCTGAGTTAAATGAGAGAAAACAATGTTTTGAGTCTGTGTGTATTGTAGCAGATGAAGGAGGATAATTCAGCACAGTGTTAGTAGGATGGGCTTCCAGAGAATGATGGGTGATGTAATTGTCAACAGCTGGCTTATTGAAGTGAAATACGGTACATCTGCTAATGTGGTCATAGTTCTCCAGAGAAATATGAGGGATCCTTGTAATATATGGCCGAAGTTATTTGATCGTGTATTAAAAACAAGGAAGATGAAGAATTTCCGTAGGGAGCTGGTACAGCACATCATTCCTGAACACAATGTTGACCTTCAATTACAAAAAGCTCCCCATGCACATGATGTGGTCCTATCAACTCCCCCATCTGGTACAGCCCGGTATGGAAAAATGTGTACTCCCTTCTTGTTGCACTGTTATTCGAAGTATTTGTATTTGTTCTTTCCATTCTTTATTAGGAAAGCAGAGAGGACCTGTGATGCATTTCCCGGTGCTCATCGTCTTTATCTCCGTTATGTCAGTTGATGCAGCTGCACCGAAAACTTTCCTATGGCAAGAAGTCGGGAACCCATCTTGTGTCCGCTGTTGTGGAGCCCCAGAAGAGGCAGCGGAACCTCCCAAGAAAACCAGAATTAAGGAGTATGTGATGTATCCTATGCCGAGGGTCCAGCCACGCATTGAGATGAGCATCCTAAAGGGTTAGTCAATGATGTCTTCACAATGGGGTCACCTACAGCAGACCAATGTGACATTTCAGGTCTGCGGTCCCTTTGCTCTGGCCCTTGTGCATTTCGTTGCTGTACTGGCAGTTTTTATAAATTGGGTTGCATGTTGATTATCGCTTTTTGAACTTCATACCTCAGGTCAGGGAGAACAGGTAGAACAAAGCGCAGTACAAACCAGGGCATGTGTGGCCATGTATTAAGCCAAGGCCTAGAGCAGGCAGCAGGTTAAGGCGAAATCCAAGGGATTGATAATTACACTTTCTGTAACCCTAGCTCTAATCCCTGTAACATTAAAGCTAATCCTCTCATTAACCTTTCCTGTAACCCTAACACTAACCCCTGACATTAATCCTTCCTTTAACCCTCACACTACTGTTCCTGTAACCCTAACACTATCCCTGACACTAACCCTACCTATGACTCTAACATTAACTTTTCTTTTACTCCTAGCACAAATCCTACCTGCAACCATAACACTAACTCTCTCTTTAACACTAACCCTGACACCAATGCTCCCAGCAACCCGAGCACAAATCCTTCCTTTACCCCAAACCCTCTCTTTAACCCCCTGCACTGACCCAAACACTAACCTTTCCTTATACCGTAAGAATACATTTCCCTGTAATCCTAACATTGATTTACTTTGTGACCCCAACACAAACCCTCCCTGCAACTTTAACCTAACCCAAACACTCGCCTTCCCTGTAACCCTAACACTAAGTCTATAACTCAAACACTAACCCTCCTTGTAACCTTAATAATAACCAAGCATTAAGTAACTATAACCCTCTCCCTTCACGTATCTACCTCTCCCATTTAAGCATTGGTAAATGAAAGAATTTAGGTTAGATCGCAACTCCAGCCAACAACAGGAAGTGATGGAAATTTGATACACTTTCTGTCTATTTGGAAAGTGGTAAAAAGAAC